ACCACAGGTGTGTGCCACCATGCCTGGCTATTTTTAAAATTTATGGTAGGGATGAGGTCTCGCCAAGTTGTCCAGGCTGTTTTCAAATCCCTGGGCTCAGGCAATTCTCTCGTCTCTGCCTCCCAAAGTGCTAGGATTACAAGCATGAGCCACTGCACCTGGCCTCAGAAAGGTAATTTAATCCTTGCAACCCAAAGTGTGATCTGCACACCAGAAATATCTCGCATGATCTGGGTGCTTATTAGAAATGCAGAATCTCAGACTCCATCTCAGACCTACTCACTGAATCAGAATCTATGTTTTTAAATAGATTACTAATAACACCACTGGTTAAAGACTGACAAGTACTGCTTTAGACTACATCTTGCATGGTCTTGGATGCCAATAATGAAATTATAATGCCATATTAAATAAACAAAATTTTTTTTAAAGTGGAGAAAGATGATAGACTCTATCCTTTGGGAATATTTAGTAAGTATTAACTAGGAGTAGATAAATGGAAGACAAACTAGAGAGAGCAAACAGGTTACAAGGCTGTTACAGTATACACAGTATATGTTGATTATCAATCTCTTAGATACTGGCAAAAGTTGACAGAATTCAGAAGATACTAATATATAAACCGATGTCGTTTTTTATTAATTTACCATGAAAACTATTACTGTTCAGTAATAGCACTGTTCAGAACTATTACTTATTCCAGATGAATAGATTTTTTTCAGTGATTTGTAATTCCTTATTACACTATCCTTAAGATAATTCCACATTAAAAGTACTAATAATTCTTTACAAGAAGTCAGTGGGAGCTTCTTCTTTCATCTGGCTCCTGTGTTCTCATGACCTGCCCGTGACTGAGCTTTTTCCTACCCACTGTCATAACAAGTTGTCCCAGTCTCCAAATCAGTCGTTTTCTGAAGAAACCTTAGTCACTCTTGGTACTAGCACTAGAGGCAAAGATCTGGGTGCTGGGTGTGCTCCTTGAGACTAGGGTGTCTTTGCTTCTTGGCCATTTCAGTGGACAAAATTACAAAACGCATGCATGTATAGCCACCCAAGTTTTATTGTACTCTGCTTTACTGAGCTTCATAGATACTACATTTTTTACAAAGTTAAAGTTTGTGGCAACCCTGAGTCAAGCAAGTGTGTTGGAGCCATTTTTCCGACAGCATGTGCTCACTTAGCATCTCTGTGTGAACACTGTGTAGCAACAAAGTTTTTTTAAAATTAAGGTATGATGGCTAGGTGTGGGGCTCATGCCTGTAATCCAAGCCTCAGTATCTCACACCTGTAATTCCAGCACTGTGGGAGGTCAATGCGAGAGGACTGCTCAAGCCTAGGAGTTCAAGACCAGCCTGGGCAACATCGTGAGAACTCGTGTGAACAAAAATTGAAAAAATTAGCCAGGTGCACGCCCGTAATCCCGGCTACTTGGGAGACTGAGGCAGAAGGATCACCTGAGCTCAGGAGGTTGAGGCTGGATGAGGTAAGCCATGATAGTTCCCATGCATTACAACCTGAGTGACAGAGTGAGACCCCAATTTAAGACAAAAACAACACCAAAAAAATTAAGGTATGTAACATTGTTTTTTAGACATAACGCTATTGCACACTTAACAGACTATAGTACAGTATAAACATAACTTTTTTGTTTTTGTTTTTTTTGAGTTGGAGTCTCACTCTGTCACCCAGACTGGAGTGCAGTGGCTGCTCCCGGCCACCGCAGCCTTGACCTGCTGGGCGCCGGCGATCCCTCCGCTTCAGCCTTCCAAGTAGCTGGAACTACAGGCGCGTGCTACCACGCCCAGCTAATTTTTAAAATTTTATTGTAGAGATGAGGTCTCACCAAGTTGCCCAGGTGGGTCTCGAACCCGTGGGCTCAGGCAATCCACTCACCTCAGCCTCCCAAAGTGCTGAGATTACAGGCTGAGCCACCGAGCCCGGCTTAAACATAACTTTTATATGCACTGGGAAACCAAAAAATTTGGCTTTATTGTGATATTCACTTTATTATAGGGGTTTGGAACCAAACCTGCAGTATCTCCAAGTAACGCCTGTCTAAACGCACATTCACCTACATATATACATAATACTCGTACATGCTATTTTAGAAATCATGAGTTCACAGTCATACTCTCAATTCAAGCTCCCCCCACAGGGTTCTTTTTGCCTGTATTTTAAATGAGCACCCCAAGTGATTTTCCTAAGCAGAGATGTTTGGGAAACATTGCTAAAGACTGCTCACAAGTCGCAGTTACCAGTTCTCAGGGCTCTCCCATGAAATTCATCAGGATCAAAAGATAAACTAACTGAAGGACTGGGCATTCTCTTTGCATCTCATTTATCCTAGTCATTGGCTCCTTATTCCTACTGAACATCTATTTTACTCAGTTCCACTCTGAGGATAATTATCACTTCATATATAAGAGCAAAATAGAAAGTGACCACTTTCTTAGTCATTAGTAGCTAATGGCCAGAACTGTGAGTTACCTTCTTAAGGGTACTACTACAAAGCATAATATGAGTAAGTGTGTATGTTTGGTTTCATTTGAAATAGTACAGTATAGTGTGTGCTATACAACTTTAGAAGGGAATCTCATACATAACCTAATATTTAGCAATGGTAATTATTTTCCTTCTGTTCTATTCTTCTCTCCCACAAAAAAAAAAAAAAAAAGTGGTTCCCCTCCCTTTATTTCTATCAGAACCACCTGTCAGCTGCCTAAGCTAGGAATCCTAGAAGTCAGATTTGTCTCTTCCTTTCCTATACCACCCATAACAAATCATTTCAAGACCTCTTAACTTTATCTCATATTTGAATCCATCCCTTTTCTTTATTCCTACAGACATTATTTTGGGTTAATTGAATACACATAAAATTGAATAATATATTCTGGCTCTGAAATACTTTACATGTTTATTATAAAGATAGCTGTAGGCTACTGAACCATAGGAAATCTATGATCTTTATATAGAAAGTATATATATTAATTCCTATTGCCAGGCTCCATCCCATACTTAGTTTTTCAAAGCTTAGTCAGGATTATTTTTAGATTAAAAAACTGATAAAAGAAAGCTCCAGAAAACAGCAAACCCTTCCTTCTCTTATGAAAGCAGAGGCGTCTACAGGCAGCAATGCACCTGTTTCTTCACTGGAGAATTTTACTCAGGATTTAGAAGCTGATATGATTTGATATTATATAGTACCTGTAATAACAGTTGATAATTTTTGACTGCTCTGTGCCACATGTCAATATAAGGATTATCTCAATTAATCTTTGCAAGAATCCTATAAAGCAGCTACTCTTGGAAAATCCAGATTGTAGATGGAAAATTAGAATATCCAGATTGCAGATGGAGAAGCCATTCAGAAATTATGTGTTACGGGGGACTGGAATCAGGTAGTCTGTCTCTAAAGCCCATATACAAATGTAAAAAATAATTTTTAGAAAAAAAATTGAGGCCATATATGATTAAGGAGAATTATGAAAATATAATTTATCTTAAATATTATAGCAATAAGCCTAAAGACTTTCTTCAGGGGGGAAAGAATAATTTCAAAAATTTCCATGGATTTCTCTTCCTTAGACACTACATTTGATGAATGTGTGTTCATGTATCATAATGTTGTAAACTTTCTTGGAAGGCAGGAACTCCTCTTTGAGATCTTATACATAAGTTCTCAATAAATAAATTTTCAATAAACATGTAGAGAATCTCCTTAATCCAAAACACAGTTAACCAGGTGATTTAGCATACATACACTATAAAATCTTACCTGGGATTCCTGATAAAGAAAATTTACTAAAGCAACTGATTTTACTTTCAAACTTGTACTTATTTTCTGTGCTCCTCACCAATGAGGGGTAACAGTTAACAATAAAGTACTGATTAAGCTTAGTGAGGAAGGCATATCAAAAGCTAAAGTAGGTCAAAAGCTAGGTCTTCTGCACCAAACAGCCAAGTTGGAATACAAAGAAAAAGTTCTTGAAGAAAACTTAAAGTGCTTCTCTAGTGAATAATAACAAGGCAAAACAGCCTTATTGCTGAGGTGGAGAGAGTTTGAGTTGCTAGATAGAAGATCAAACCAGACATGACAGTTCCTTAATCTAAAACCTAATCAAGGCAAGGACCTACCTCTCTTCAATTCTAAGAACACTAAGAAACATCAGAACTGCAGAAGAAAAGTTAGAAGCTAGCAGAGATTGGTTCATGAGGTTGAAGGAAAGAAGTCATCTCCATAACATAACTAGCACCTACTGATTAAATTAAAGGCTTCAAGTCAAAATAATTACCCAGTAAATAAAGGCCAATCATACTGTGAGCAAAGAAGAGAAGAGTGGTAAACAGTACAAGTTGTGAGGCTACATTGTCTGGGTTCGAATCCTGGTTCTACCACTTACTAGGTGAGACATTCTGGGCAACCCCCAGTTTCTCTTTCCATCAATTTCCTCATCTTTCAAATAAGGATATCTACTTCATAGGAGTTTCATAAGGATTACACAAGTTAACGCATGTTAGACAATTAACAAAAGTTGATTATTCCTATGATGCAGAATTTCTTTCTCTTTCACACTGGGTAGAGATTCTCTCAACCCAAACTTCACCTTTCACTTCCTTCGGTGTTGTCTTTGGGGATACATCAGCAACACAAATCTCTTATAAAAGTGGGGCAATACAAGTAAGTCTATTATATACAAAAATTTTAATGAAAATGTTTTGTCTAAAACTCTTTTGTGAGAACAGCAATCACAGATATAATAAATCAGATGTATACAAACCGGTATTTCTCAAAGAGCTATTTTCTAACCAATCCTCTACTCCCGAGACTCCATGTCATTAAGTATCCCAAATTCATTATTAAATATAGATTATTTATAGTTTAACAAATTCCTGTAATTTCTCATTTGCTTGTTAAAAAAGAGCATAAAACGTTAAAATTCAGGACATTTATATGCTATCACTAAAATATTCAACAGGAGCCACGTAACCATGATACTCACTTCATCTCTATAAAGTGGGCTAGTGTAATACATTATGTCCATTGCACTGCTGTTCAACATATCCCTTAAACCTCGTACTTTGTCAGGAGTAATGGAATCAACAGTGTCTACAAAAATAAGCAAAACAACAGTAACAATTAAATTAAGCTTATAGAAGATCTCTCTTGTAGGGAAAAAATAAACTGAGAAAAATTAAAAATAATAACTACTTAACGTTTAAACATTCAAGACCAGCTTTGGCTCTAATAGACCCTCCCTTCTTGGAAACTACTAAAAGACAAAAGAGGACATGAAAAGGAATATTAAAGGATGGAAGCCATTATAAAATCTATGAAGTCCACACTTTTTTGTATGACTTTTGTGTGACAATCAGGAGTACCCAGAGCAAAACCAGGCCATCTATTTTGGAACAAGTGTCAAGGGGACACAATCCCAACTTCAGTAAACAAGATAAAGTTGGTGCAATTTACAGAACTGGAAAAAAAAAAACTGTCACATAAACTCCACTGCAAACCAGTAAGCTTTCCATGAGTTACACCTACCTTATAGAAATGCTATCTCAGAAAGATTACTCTACTAGGCACCTAATAAAATTATTAGAGATGCATAAAACTGTACATTTCTTATAGAAATGTAAAGAAGTACTATACTTGGATGAATGTTGTATTTGAAAGCACAAGTGAGCAGAAGGCTTATGATTTTAGTCAAACACTATTTCTTTTAGTCTCCAGTTTCCCATCACAATGGCTTGGGCTGTTCTGTGTCTATTTACCCCTCACTTTAAGAATACAATGCAACTGGAGGCAATGGCAAGCAAAGGCCAGGTATTTCTTCAAGGCCATAAGGGGGCACTGTGGGGCCATTCACAGAAGCACAATCAATGTGCAGCCTGGGCCTATTTTTAATTTGTGAAAGTGAAAGCTGTGACGATCATGCTGATCTGAAAACAGTTTAAATGTCACTTCAAGGCATTTCCAACAAAAGGTTTCACAGTAAGCTACAGACCTATACGAAAGAAGGTATTTAATATGTATGGGCAGTTGAAAGAAGTTCTAAAAAGAAAAACATGTTCCTACCACCTAGCTTCAGAATATCAGAAGCCTACCACAGATCCCTAAATGATCACATGCCCCTCTAAGAGAGGCAGTAACCACCGTAAGAGGGTTGTGTCAATGTTTTTCCTTTTCTTCATAAGTTTGCGACATGTACAATAATAATAATCACAGTCAATTACTTCTACAGCATTTACTATGTGCCAGTGCCTAAATACTTTATTTTGCCTGATTCTGAACACTGTAAATTGAGATGTTATCTATCCTTTCTGAGATTCACCCATGTGGATGTATACAGCTGTCATCTACCCATTTTCACTGATTTATATAGTATTCATTCTCCTATGAGAGACATTTAGGTTGCTTCTAGTTTTTTGCTATTATAAACTATGACCCTAATAATATTGTTTTATATGTCTCCTGGCACACATGTGTAAGAGTTTCTTTAGGGTATATACCTAAGAAATGAAATTGCTGTGTCAAAGGGTACATGCACACTCAACTTTACAAGATAATGTCAAATTATCTTCCAAAGTGATTGTACCAATTTTCATTCCCATCAGCAGTGAAAATCCTCACTGACAGCATCCTCAACAATACTTGGTATTGTTACTTCCTTAAAAATTTTGGCCTGATGGGTATGAATATTTCACTGTGATTTTATTTATTTATTTATTTATTTATTGAGTTGGAGTCTCAGTCTGTCCTGGGCTCCGGTGATCCTTCCGTCTCAGTTTTCTGAGTAGCCGGAATTACAGGCATGCGCTACCATGCCCGGCTGATTTTTTGATTTACTGAAGAGATGAGGGCTCGCCAAGTTGCCCAGGCGGGTCTCGAACCCGCAGGATCAGGCAATCCACCCACCTCAGCCTCCCAAAGTGCAGGATTACAGGCTGAGGCCACCGAGCCCGGCTTTCACTGTGATTTTAATTTGCATCTTCTTGATTACAAGTGTGCTGTACATTTCATGTATATACAAATTTATTTTAATTTCTTTCCCATTTAAGTTTCCTGCTCATTATTCTGAATATTGAGTCTTTTACACCTGTTGCTCTGCTGAAACGTCTTTTCCCAGGATGTGGTTTGTCTTTCATTCTTTATAGTCTATGGATAAAGAGACGCTCTTAATTATAACCTGATCAAATTTATCTGAATTCTTTCCCTACCCTGAGGTCATAAAGATACTCTCGCATTTTTTTCTAAAGTTTTAGAAGTCTTGGCTTTCATATATTATCTTTGATCTATCTGAAATGTGGGGTAGGGATCATTTTTCACTTTTTTCCCTCATAAGACGACGAGTTATTCTACAGCAAGGCTCCCTAACCGCCCACCCCCCCACCCCTTCTCGTACCAGTCCCTGGACTGTTAGGAACCGGGCTGCAGAGCAAGAGGTGAGGGGTAGGCAAGGGAAACTTCATGGGTATTTATACAGCCACTCCCCATCACTGGCACCAGAGCTCCGCCTTCCATCAGATCAGCACTGAAAAGCCTGCTTCGATTTCCAATATCCAATCTTTGTGAAGCAGGATTTTCTCCAGTCACAGCAACCAAAACGAGATTACAGAGTAGACTGGACATAAGCAACGCCCTTTGGGTGTCACTTTCTCCCATCACCCCCAGATGGGACTATCTAGTTGCAGGAAAACGAGTTCAGGGCTCCAACTGATTCTGCATTATGGTGAGTTATATAATTATCACATTATATATCACAATGTAATAACAATAGAAATAAAGTACACAATAAATGTAATGTACTGAAACCATCCCCTAACCTCTGGCTGTGGAAAAATTGTCTTTGATGAACCTGGTCCCTGATGTCAAAAAGATTGGGGACTGCTGCTTTATGGAATAGTCCATCCTTTCACCAATGATCTGCATTGCAGATCTGACATATATCAGGTTTCCAAATAAAGTGCGGGGCTGTTTAGGGAGTCTACAATCTGGTTCACTCATTTATTTGCCTATCCTTGTGCCAATAGTAAACTGTCTTAATTATATTATTATTATTATTTTGAGTTGAAATTTCACTCTGTCACCCAGGCTAGAGTGCAGTGGCATATTCACAGTTACCACTGCCTTGACCAGCCAGGCTCAGGCAATCCTTTCACCTCAGCCTTAAAACTAGCTGGGGCTACAGGCACACACACCACTATGCCCAGCTAATTTTGGCAGAGATAAGGTTTCGCCAAGGTGCCCAGGCTGGTCTTGAACCCCTGAGCTCAGGTAATCCTCTCGCCTCTGCCTCCCAAAGTGCTGGGATTACAGGATTGAGCCACTACGTACAGCTAAATTGTCTTAATTCTAAAAGTTAAACACATTAATAGGTCTGACTAGTAGGATGTGACTCCCCCTACCCCCAACTCCCTTGTTCTGTGTTTTGGCTATTTTTGGCACTTTGTTCTTTTATAATCATTTTAGAATTAGCTTGTCAAGTTTTATAAAAAACTCTAATGGGCTTTTGACTGGAATTGCATGGAGTCTACAGATCAATTGGGGAGAATCAACATATCTAGGATAATCAGAAATCCTAGAAATTATCTATCTTTGTATTTAAGCTGTATTGAATGTCTTTTAATTGTTTCTTTAATCTTTAATATAAATATACTTCTTTTGTTATATTTATTTCTTGAAATCTCATTTTTTTTTTTTTTTGAGTTGGAGTCTCACTCTGTCACCCAGACTGGAGTGCAGTGGCTGCTCCTGGCTACTACAGCCTCAACCTGCTGGGCTCCAGCGATCCTTCACCTCAGCCTTCCAAGTAGCTGGAACTACAGGCGCGGGCTACCACGCCCAGCTAATTTTTGATTTATTGTAGAGATGAAGTCTCACCAAGTTGCCCAGGTGGGTCTCGAACCTGTGGGCTCAGGCAATCCACTCACTTCAGCCTCCCAAAGCATGGGATTACAGGCTGAGCCACCGAGTCCAGCTGAAACCTCATTTTTTATATTATTTGTTTATTGTTGATATATGAAAATGCAATTCTATTTATATATGGATCTTCTATTTCATAACCTTGATAAACTATCTTATTCTAATAACTCTTTTGTGTATTCTTTCGTATATTCTAAGTAGACAATCATTTGATCTGCAAATCACAACTCAGATGCTTTTGAGTCCTTATAACTATTATTTCTTTTTCTCATCTTATTGCACTGCTAAGACTTCTAGAATGTTTAAGTCATAATAGTGAACATCCTTAGCCTCTTGATTTAAAGGAAATGTTTTTAGCCTTTCACTACCAATAAGCACAACAATGTTTACTGTAGGTAGATGCCCTTTTATTACTATTTTTCAGTTTATAAACACTAAAACTCACTGTGTGAGTTTTAATGCATGTGTAGTTTTATGTAACCACCATAATCAGGACACAGAACTGTTCCATCACCCTAAAAAACTTCTACATGCTGCCCTTATGAATTCAAATCCACCCCCGTCCCCTAAACCCTGGCAGTGATCTAGTCTTGCTTTTGATAGAATGCCATAAAAATGAAAGCATAAAGTATGTAATCTTTCAAGACTGGCTTCTTTCACATCACAATGCCTTTGAAAATATCACAGTAGTTTAAACCTAACAGAAATTACAAACTCAGGGGTTTTACTCAATGTTAATTCATCCATATCATGTATGTTCCTGAGAACTTTAAGAAATTTAACTGTGAGAATGGGAAAAGCTCAAAGACAGTGTTGTTAATATGCTAGAAACCTCTATATGAGTCATTGTTGCTGAGACTTCTTCTTTATTCACCGGTATTTCTTTTATTTTTTTACACATTACAATTTTGATGTTATTTTTGTTTGATAAACTACAACTGACCTTCCTAACTGATTATGAGACAGAATTACAGTCCTGGAAGAATCCTTAGAAACCATTCAGGGAAGCCGGGCTCGATGGCTCAGCCTGTAATCCCGCGCCTTTGGGAGGCTGAGGTGAGTGGATTGCCTGAGCCCGTGGGTTCGAGAC